TCTTCTACAGTCAGCACTTCAGCTCCATATGGACATTTTAACTCTATCATAGTGTTTTGTTTTTTTTTTATTCCATCCAGACTGGCAGCAACATAATCAAATTCGAATTCAATAAAATGTCCACATTTAAAAACTTTTACTTGCAAATAAATTTCCAAATCTTATTTTGCTCTGAATTTATGGTCCATGGCATATCGGGTGGCTTTAGAAATAAATAAAAGATTTTTGGAGATTTTTTACAAATTTCTCTAAATTTTAAAGCAGTGACTCGTTTCCGTCTTTTATTGTGCCACAATGACAATCAGCTTGTCACAATCGGTTTTTTCTCATTTATAGGCATTGGCTAACTCTTTAGAAAATTTTCTCTTGCAGCACGCCTCAAAGGGTGCGACAGATCAAAGCCATGCGCGAAAGCAAGAAAAAATATTTACATTACTTAAACGGATTGAAGAGATATTAACATACTGGAATTAATGACTTGAGGTATTCATTAAACAAAAACATACTTATAATTCATATCTCAGTGTATATCTTCCAATTTCGGATATATATTTTTTAATAAATAAATGATAAAATTAATTTAATGTAATTGAGCGAAATTACTGTATGTAAAAAATAACATTAATTCAAATCACTTATATGGGTGATTCTCGCCTAACTGTGATTTTTTATGTCCAGTGTTTTATTTATCGTTTAGCATAAGTTTTCCTCATCAAAAAGTTAATAATATTATAAATTTAGAGGTATTTTACAACCGACATTATGAATTAGATCATAAACCTTCGTAATTTTTTTTTAAGTTGCATATAAATATATTCGAAATGTCAGTACCGTGGCATGTCCGATTCTCATTTTTAAAATTAAATATACAAATTTCTATCAAAATTAATTTTTTAATATAAAATTTACCTCTTATAACTACAATCTAATGCATACTGCATTGAATTTTATTGGAATTTTATACCAATCTTTTGATTGGTAAAAAAAAAATAATCATTTATATGTCAGTACCGTGGAAATAATGTCAGTACCGTGGCATTAAAATTTTTAAATTTTGTCACAGTTTTCGTTGTGTCGTAGAACTGTAGCCAGTGGCGTAGAATTTTTTTTTTTCAATTACAACACCCTGTATCTCGAAAATGGTGCATTTTAGAGGGTAAGTTAATAGAAACGTTTTTTCATATTTTTGGACGGGCTATCACGTCCTGAAGTCCTGCGTATATATTATGAAACACCCTGTATAGTCGTTACCTCATGATAACAATACAATTGCCGCGTTTGAATATCCGCATCCGATGCATTTTTTACATCTCGAGCGTTTGTTTATCTCAGATACATCCGATATTGATATTCAAACGCAGCAAATACAATCCCTTCACTTAAATCAATTTCGCTATAATTATGCTTTTGTATTGATTCTGTTCTACTTTTATCTCTGTCTTCACGTTAGGTTAAATAAGGAAATTGATAAATGCAAGGAAGATAACGCAATTTGAAAGCCGTCGATTTGAAACGATAGCGTTTTCTAAAATCGTAGAATTGAAACTATCGATAATTTGACACAGAGTACCATTTTACAGTTCAATGTTGTTTTGTAGAATTCTACGAAGCATAAAGTTTCAGCCGTATTATTCTCTTGGAAGTATCGATGTAGACGGCGTCGCGCAGGACCGGTCTCGCATGGCAATAATCTTAGCGGAAATATTGGCGAAACTGGTCTTAGATGATGTTAGTGATCAGGAAACAGATGGATACCAAACAATCGGCTGAAGAGCTTGTATTGGCAAACAGAAATCTCGAACTAATTCGAGAAATATTCAACGAAATAGTCCATTCTGCATTCACGGAGATATCTCCATATAAAGCTTCAGGAATTAAGCAGAAACTCGCCAAAATGATTTTCTTTGTGTATCCATACATTGAAGCGTTGTTAAAGTTAAAGCCTGTTTTAGGAAAGTTGGGAAATTACTAACGATACTAAAGGGAGCAGATAAAGCTCCAACGTATCCAAAATGATTTAATTTGATCTCCTTGCTACCGGAATTAGGCAAGATACCGGAGAAAATATTTATCAGTGTACTTTGGTATTACTCTTAGAACGTCCAGAGTACAAAACTTAAATCAATATTGATTTAGAAAAGGTCGATTTACGATTGCTTTTTTGATCATATTGTGAGTACAGAAGAGTATAACATAACGATATTTATTCATATATTAGGAGCCTTCGATAAATTATGTTAGTCAGCACCAATTAATGAACTAGATGGAAAGGGGATGTCAAGTAACTTGCTCGGGATAACCAAGAACTACTTAAATGACAGTAGTGTTAAGTACTCCACAAACCATATAACATTCAGAAAAGAAGTAAGATATTCCACAAGGGCCAGCATTAATCCCAAGCCCGTGAAATCTGATAATTGACGCATTACTATCACACCAATAATGGTTAGATGAAATTAAGGTCACCGTATACAGACGATATGTATAAGAAGGATTATTTCCCTCGCCTGTCCACTTTAACATTTTAACCAATCACATCGCAATTTACGTTATCATTAGAACCAATCAGAACCAAATAAATCGACTATTTTCACTGGCTATTTAAAATCGACTATGCATGGTGCTTGGATATTCACCTATGTTGAAAGCAGCTCGTATACTTGTTTATAGGTATAATATTTAATAACGGCTACTGTCAAATATATTTATTGTCAGAAAACAAGCTAATATCTCGTGAAACGGTTTAAAATGAATCAAAAATATAAGGTATTTTAATAAGTTCTTTTATTGTGTATTTATTAATTTAAGTTACATTTAGGGCTCTAGAAATAATGTTATAAAATATAACTCGATCTTAATAAATCAGCGCCTATTTTTATAAGAAATGAATCGAGAGTATTTATTGTTACTAAATTTTTCATGTATTTTGCAACTTGTCTCGACATAATTTTATCATTAATAATTAAAGAATAGAGTCCTCGAGTTTAAGCTCTCGGGCTCTATTTAGATTATTAATGACCAAATTACATCTCTACAAATTGATATAAAAAACATTCAAAAATTTAGCAACAATAAAAATAGTCGACTATTTTTCAAGGTCCGTTATATTACCCTTGAATGTCCGATTTAAAATTAAGAAAAAAGCAAATGAATACATAAACATAGTTTTCAAGCTGGGAAATAGAAAGAAGATGAGCATAAGAAGAAGCATACATACGTCATGTCAGATTTTATGTGTCCTCGTAAAATTTCTATTTTATCTTCATCCACAACATTATAAAGCTATATATATATATGGGCATTGCTTTAATAATTTATTTATATGTAGATAGGTACTATAGTCTAAAAGTATTAAAATGTAGCTATACAGTTACCTATATTAGTTTTGTTAAAATTAAAGGTTTTTAACTATGTAATATGAAGATTTGGTAATTTTTAAAATAAAATATTCCCCAATTCCTCTACTAAATTATGAACAAATTACATTTTATATTCCCAGAGTAAAAACAAACCAAAAAAATTGAAAAAAAAATGCGTGCGAGACCGGGGGTCAAATCTGGAATCTTGGACTTGAAGTAATCAAATTGAAACTGCCATGGTTACACGCAAATTCTCATCCCATCTTAGCTCTCTAAATTATTCTCAAGGCATCCTCTGATATCGTCTAGAAAGACGGTAATTTATAATTACATTAGAAGTAAATGTCTAAGATCCTTCATTCGTTCAACAGTGTTAAGATTTGGTGTACACTACGCAATAAAAGTCAAAAGAAAGTTAGTTGAGATACGAAAAACTAAATGCCAATTTGGATATTCTGAAAATTAAAAAGCCTAATGGGCCCGTTCACTTTCATTTTTGAATGTGAATTGATTATATATTTATAAAGATATTAAACTCTTTTGTCTGGTGGTACTTTTCCCATAAAGATATTTTTGCTAGAAGTAAGGGAATTCCCATAAAATTCTTTCAGTGACTCATTGCATCAGAAAATCCCTAATTCCGTTCACGTCTCGTATCGGTTATGCTGAAAGACGGCGAGGTTGTCGGAAGTATCGCTAATATAGCATTTCTGCATTTATATGTAATTTAAATAGTAAAATTCCATTATTTTTCTAAAAATCATGAACTTATATTTTCAGATTTAAAGCTGGGAGCTTATTTTTTACTTTTTAATTAAAACAATTATTATTACTCAGGCTGAAAATTAACCAGACCATAATCAAAAAGTAGAAATTTGATTTGCAATATTTATCTGGTAAACGTGGCAACGTTGCATTTATTTCTAGAAGTGTGTGTAGACAACACTATTTAGAAGTACTTACAACGTTGTCACGTTTACCAGATACATTTTCTCAAATAAAATTTCGATCTGGTAATATTCAGCTTGAGTAATACTAATTGTTTTTATTAAAATTTAAAAAAGGTAAGCCTTCCAGCTTTATCTGAAAATATAAACACATTATTTTTAAAAAATAATATTTTTTTATCATTTAAATTTCTTTAATAAATGCAGAAGAGGAATGGTGGTGCAATGATACATCCGACAACCGCGCCCTTTTAACTATTAACCGATACAAGACCTGAAGGGAATTAGGGGTTTTCTGACGCAATGAGTCACTGAAAGAATTTTATGGGAATTCCCTTACTTCTAGCAAAAATATCTTAACGGGAAAAGTACCACCAGACAAAAGAGTTTAATATCTTTATAAATATATAAATAATTCACATTCAAAAATGAAAGTGAACGGGCCCATTCCCCCTAAGAAATTATAAAAATTAGTCTAAATCTGACTGACTCCTAGCTTTCTAAAAGTTTTTTTTTTGGTTTGTTTTCACTTTGGTAATATGAGAGTTTAATTTTCATAATTCCGTAGAAGAATTAGGGATTTTTCATTTTCTCAATTTCCAAATCTGAATTTAGTTTTTCGGATCTAAACCAACTTTCTCACTTCACTTTCAATTAAAAAAAAAATTTTTAATATCCACAATTTTTTTTTTAGGGTATGACTTAATTGAATGGTTGATGGAGCGTCTTGGAATAGAAGAATCCGGTAAGTTACATTTTAATATTAACGGCTACCTTCATTTATTTTCATAGAAGAACCTATTACGAACTACTCATCGAGAATGTATTCAAAACGCGTAGTGCTATCACATGCTAATTAAAAACAATGGCTTTCATAAGGAAATCGACAACCCAACTTAACTTCAGAGCCGTCCTAATATATTCAGCGTCCGTGGGCTACTAAAAATAATAAGCATCTTTTCATTATAAAACACATCGTCAAAGTTACACAATCTTCTCAGTACTAGAAAAAGTCAAATTATTAACATTACACTAAATAAAAATATAAAATTAATATAAATTATAAAAAATATGAAAAAAAAAACACACTTTGTAGGTTTTTGAAAGTTGAATCCAACACAAATTATAAATACAGCCTCACTAATTGGACTGTATGCTTTCGGTGCAACCTGCAACCATCTCCATGTGGATAATGAAATTCCAACACTTTGTAAAAAACAATTTATCGTGCAAAAACGCTGCACGACAAATTTTAAATTTATACATATTTACATTATTTTTATGTAACTACCTACATGCTTTACACTGCATTAGGGTTTTACATTTTATTTTATTTATTATTATCTTTGCTCAGAGAACTTAAATGATTTATGTAACAGAAAAGAACTGTCGTAATTTTAATGAGAGCACGTCTGTCTTCTAGCAAAGCACAGACTTGTCTGATTTTTCTGTCGTTCAAAAGAAAGACATACATATATGCCTACGTAACTTAAACTAGTAAGCCTTGAGTGTTTCGGGCCGATGCGGCTTGGCGAACGCGATTATTATCACGTACACATTTACGGTTGCTAATAATGAACATCTGGGTTCACGAGCACAGGACCGCCTTTGATAAATGTTAAACGGTTTTGAAACAATAAGAATAAATATTACAGACGATATTCCTATAGCTAGGAAGATGTACCATAATATTAGAATATGGAACGATCCACCTTGACAAAACCGATTCATTTAAAAATTAGCGCTACGACAAGAGTGGTGTTAAGCCAAATACATTTGGCAAACAAAAACAAACGACTTACAGGCGCAGTAAATATCTCATTATGTATATTGAACAAATCGCACGGTATAAAATAGGCAGATTATCCAACTAGCAGTAAAAAAACGAATATTTATCTGTGTTTATGGTCGTTTGTAGGTAAATTAATTTAGTTTTAGGGAGGCAAGACACACAACAATTTTGTTAAACCAATTTATTGAATATTATAGAATTTTTAATCAAAAGATAATATTTTTGGTGACAAGTTAAGATTTCAGAACACGAGTACAATCATCATTGAAATTTTGACATTCGGAATCATATTGTTACTTAAATAAAATAGTAGTAGTAGTAGTAGTAATAAATAATATATTGTTATGTGAGCCATTTCATTATTCAGTCATGCTCTAACCCTCCACGTCCCTCTCTGTCTTATTTGGCCTTTGAGGCTCAATTTTTCTGATTATTATACATAATTAAACCCCTTAAGACCAAACCTATGTGACGACTATGGTGGAGACACTTTCGCGAACATTCCAGAGTCAACGAGATACTATTTCTAGTCTAAATATAACGTGATAACGTTGCTGGTACATTCTGGATATTTTGGTGGAGGAGCATTCTAGACCACCAATTTGTATATAAATATTGGTGGAGGACCAGCAAATAGTTAGTTATTATATGGACAGTGAAGATAAATAGTAATTAGTAGAAAGACAGTGGTGAATATAAATAGTGATCAGTTTAAAGACATTCGAAGTATATATAAATTAGAATAGTAGTGTTATAAATAAATAAGTGTTTAAATAAATAAATTATTAATAAAATGTTGTTTAAAATAAACAAACATCACAATATGTTACAATTATTGTAATAAAAATAACAATACTGATGCCTCTTTAAATGTTTTTTAAAAATTTTCCTGGAGGGCGCATTGCTTAGCTTGAATCGCCAATTTTATTTTAAAAATTCTGAATATTAACTAGAAGTATTTTTAAAATATTGATGATTTTTATATTTCTACTAGAGTTGCTAGCGCCCTTAAGAATCTATTAGCAACAATTTACTGATCTTCTAGGCTTTTTAATACAAAAATCGATGAACGTAATTGATCATTTATGCAGTTTATTTGCACCGCTAATCGTTAAAAAATATGCCAACATAATGACTAATTTTCATTGGAAATGTCATCCTCGTCGTCGTCCTCTTCCTCTTCTAGTCAAATGGTTTTGTTTATAACTCTTTTATTAATTAAAATTTTAAAATCATTTTCATTATATTTTTCCGTCACTCAATGTGCATTTATGTGTCTCACCGAAAAATAGTATTTATGTCGTCTCTGCTTTATTCTATCTCGATGCATCAAACAGTAGGTCACCATATTAATAATTGTAATATAAATTGCCTATTTTAAACAATCAGCTACAATACATTTTTTTATGAACTGGTTCATACTGCGAAATGTATGTATGGTTTATGCTTGACACCCAAAAATGTGGTCTATACTGCGACGCATATAAATAATGCAAGTTTTGCTAATGGTTCTTATTAGCAAAAATGAACCTGGGGTTTTATTGAGTTTTTACCTGTTCTAGTTAATTTAAAACCTGTTTTCCAATTTAAATAATTACGGGTGGCACTCGGGGACTGCCGCGGAAAAGCTATTGCATAGCATTTTTATCAACTATTAATTATAATTATTTATTTATTTTATTCATGCAGTATTTTTTTATATTCAAGTTTTTTCTTTGATATTAATTCAAGTTACACTTTTTGAGCGTTGTGACCGATAAGAAAACAATTTTTTTTCTTTTATTGAATAAATGAGAAGTTAATATTGTTTAAAATAATTTTATTATCTTACAATACATGTAAATTTTTTTTATCATTGAAACTATAGGTTTATGGTAACTGAAATAAGAAACATAAGTTTAAGACTTGATATCCTCTAAATATCTGGAAAATACCGCGTCAATGGTGGTCCCATATTTTGTTGTGGATTCTTGTACATCATTATTCATTTTCAAATTTAATTTTTCCGTAATTGTGTCTAAAAGAGATAGAATCAGTTATGAGCAGTTAGCAGCTAGTCTACACGCACACAAACACCGTGCCGAAGTCTGCCGAACTGAAACGACGTTAGACGATGCACGGCTTTCAACGCCGCACAGCTGTGCCGGTTGGAGTGGGGGGTGTTAGGTTTATTTTCGTTACGGAAGTTTTTTTTCGATTTTTAGATTTTTCGATTTTCCGATTTTTCGATTTTTCGATTTTACGATTATACGATTTTACGATTTTTTGACTTTTCGATTTTCGATATTTCGATATTTCGATATCTCGATTTTACGATTTTTCGATTTTTCGATTTTACGATTTTACGATTTTATGATTTAACGATTTTTCGATTTTACGATTATACGATTTTTCGATTTTTCAATTTTACGATTTTTCGATTTTACGATTTTACGATTTTTCAATTTTTTGATTTTTCGATTTTTTTGATTTTTCGATTATTCGACTTTTCGATTTTTCAATTTTTCGATTTTTCGATTGTTCGATATCTCGATTTTTCGATTTTACGATTTTATGATTTAACGATTTTTCGATTTTACGATTTTACGATTTTTCGATTTTACGATTTTTCGATTTTTTGATTTTTCGATTTTTCGATTTTTTTCTTTTATTGAATAAATGTGCCTGTCGGAGTGGTTAGGTTTTTTTTTTTTTTTTTTTTTCGTTACGGAATTTCTTGATTCGGTCGCTGCGCTCAGCCCGCGATTAGGCATTCCAACGACCTGTCCAAATGGCTGACGGTTTAGATATGGCAATCCTGTTGTCATGTTGTCATTAACAGGGTCAATGATACATACATAGTTATTTAGTTATATAGATTGCTCAAAGCTGGCAAATATTTATTAATTTGAATCGGTTTAGCAAAAATGTGTGTTAAAACCAATTTTCAGCCTTAGGATATTTAAAAAAAAATAATCGCTTACATTTTTACTTATGTTTATTTTGAAAAATATGGATGATCAATCTATGTAACTATCTATTTCATTGACCTTGTCAAATCACCAGGCCTACAGGGTTGCCATAATTTGGCCATATCATAACGTGTCAAAACCCACTAGTAGCCTTTCAATTTGGAATGCCTAATAGCTTAATAACTGCTGTTATTAATGTTTGTCATTTTTCAAATAAACACACCAAAAATAATTCTTAAATCTCGAAAAGAAATACCTCAACATATACACGACTGACTAGTAACGCTAACACATAAGGAGTCACTAGTAGCGCCGCTCGTATTTGATATCTGAACGTGCGCAGATCAGTAAAGTTATGGAACTGACTTTATTAAAGATAGTGCCTGTCCTTTATTGTGGATGTTTACGGACAGCAATAGTGGCGATTTTATTAGCCTTCGGGTACGCATGTCGATATTCGTATCAGTTCGAAGTTTTTTTAATATTTAATATTTAATATCATTATCATTCAAATCCTCAAAAATGGGAATTTCTAATGCCTCTTTAATATTATGTACTATTATAGATAACAAATACGAACTATAATTTAAAGATTTTAAAATGAGGTTAGAAATATTTCTAAGGACGAGGACCGTAATGTAGAAATTTCAGGTTTGCATTGTTTTATTTTAGCATGACATTTATTTGCCTCTTATTACGTTGTCACTATTAGTGGCTGACGTTATGGAAATTTGTATTATCTCTCTATTCACCGCACTAAAAACGTTCTTGTCACCTCTTGTCACAAGTTGAACGTCGAACTTGTTGTATTTTCCCAGTTTATGGTGATTTGGATTGTCTAATTGCCAAAATAAAACTTGTTCTCTATAAATTTGAGCTCTATGGACGTACATAATGTCAAAATAGTTTAATATAAAGTTTTTCTTTGAATAATAAGCATATATTAATGTTTTTTTTTTTAAATATCAAGAACATTGATTAAATATTAAATTTTTCATTTTTTTTTTTATTTGACTATGTTCACATATAAATGCTAGTGATTATTCGTAAAATGTTTCGGATTATTAGCTCAGTTAGGAAAATTTTAAATAGTTGGTAATTATTAATATGAAGAGAAAATAACGGTATTGATGCCGTGCAATGGTTTTTATATTAAAAAGCCTAAATCAGGTATTTAAATGGTATTTATTTAAAGAGATGTAATAAAAAGTATCTTTTATTATTTATTTATTTATTATTTACCACAAAACTTTTTCCATGCGTGTATGACGTTTCAGTGTTCCGTGCTACGTCTCACACCAGAATTTGTCACGCACACACGGAACAATTCTAGTTTGTGGTTGCGTAATGAAAATAGTATTTGATCCCTATAAAATTCATATTTCATTAGACTTTTATCCTTTATCCGCTTTCTTTACGAATAATTCTATCTCGGAAATCTATTATTACGATAACAGTATCATTTCTCTATAGTCAATAGGCCCATTGTATTCGTCTCTTTTGTTCTCATAATTGAATTTATTTTCCTTTTTTCCATTTGTTATTTTTTGTTAAAATATTTTTATGCTCTTTTTCAGAGGCGCTGAATATCGCCCATCAACTATGTCAATACGGATACTTCTTTCCAATAAGCGACTCAAAGAACCTCGTAGTTAAAGATGATAGCTCCTTGTACAGATTTCAGGTAAATCCTTTTAATATTAATACTATAGATATAAGACATATTAGAGTAGTTTAAACACTAAATTACGAAAAATAGGTTTGATATACTTTACAAATTGCTATTACTCAAAATATCGATGATCATCATGGTTTTGTTAAGGGGCTATTGATACTGCAACGAGTAATCGCTTTAAAAAATTAACTCTCCAAAAGTAAGTTGTTAGAGGTAACAAGAAACCACAGTCTAATGGTAAAGTTAAAAATTTAAGTGTGTTTCATTGGCAAACAAACATACGTTAACCATGGATGGTGATTCCAAATAATATCAATTTTATCACTTTTTACTTTCCTATCTGTATAAGGAAAGTATAGGAATCATGATTTTTTTCGACCTCGAGTTTTTGACGGATTTTTACGTTTTGAGGTCCCCTGAATCCGTTTTGACTATTTTCGCGATGATGTCTGTGTGTGTGTGTGTGTGTGTCTGTGTGTGTGTGTGTGTGTGTGTGTGTGTGTGTGTGTGTGTGTGTGTGTGTGTGTGTGTGTGTGTGTGTGTGTGTCTGTGTGTGTGTGTGTGTGTGTGTGTGTCTGTATAACGCATAACTCATGAACCGATACACATAAAAACACCAAATTTTAAACTTAAGCTTTGTTTCGGCGTCCAATGAGCTGATTAGATTTTGGGCAGAGTCGGAACATCTGGGGGGGTACTTTATAGGTGGTCATTTTTATATTTTATGGAATATATTCGTTATTTACGTTTGGAGAAGAAAATTCTTCAAATAAAAGTTACTTACAATATTATTATCTATAATTTTTGTTCTATATAAAATTTTCCTAAAATGGTCCGTATTCGAGAAATTTGACAAAATGTAAAAAAAATAATTTTTTATAAAAATTGTTCAAATAAAAGTTGTTTGTAATATAATTCTCTATAATTTTTATTCTACACATAATTTCTCTAAAATGGACCGTATTCGAGATATTTGAGAAAATGTGTAAATTTCGAAATTTGAAGAAAACTCAAAAACGGATAAAGGAAAAAACATTAAATTTTAAACTTAAGGTTTATTTCGGCCTGACGTGAAATTATTAGATTTTGGACAAAGTCGGAACATCTGGGGGGGTACTTTATGGGAGGCTGTTTTTATATTTTATGGAATATATCTGTTATTTATGTTTGGAGAAAAAAATTGTTCAAATAAAAGTTACTTCTAATATTATTATCTATAATTTTTGCTTTATGTAAAAATTTCCTGAAATGGTCCGTATTCGAAAAATTTGACAAAATGTGCAAAATTCTGATTTTTATGAAAATTGTTGAAATAAAAGTTGTTTGCGATATCGATCTCTATAATATTTGTTCATACATGATTTTTTTAAAATGGACCGTAATGGAAAAATTGTAGGAAAAGTGCTAAATTTAAATTTTTCAGTATTTTCATATTTAATGAATATCTATAGAAAAATGTTTCGCGGTAGATGTATGTGGACAATGTATATATTTAGTTTATCCTCTAAACATTTATAGAGATGCTGCAATAGGTTGTACAAAATAACCGGAAAAAGCCTGTAATAACTAGATAGGAAAGTCATGTGTTGGACACATCAGATTTTTTTATTCATGATTTGAAAACAACTTTATAGATTTTCTTAAAGTTTGTTGCATTCATATCTAGTCGAATTATACCGATGTATTAAAAGTAGGATATATTAAAAGTAGGATAATTCTAATATGGCTTGACTAAATATTAATAAATTTTTTCACCCTCAGAACTAAACCCTGTTTATCTGATTCTTATAATTTGTTTTTATATGTGAGAAGGAAACAATAAACAGAATGTAATTCACGTCCATGCAAACTGCTTATGGGTGATGGACCTTTGTGGAGTCTGTATGTGAAAGACCTGGTTTCGCCTTGGTAGTACTCAAACATGCTTACCTTTAAATTTTGTTGGTCTGTCGAATGGCTCTAGCTTTTCGAGTCTTTAGCAACCATACCACCAACTTGTAGGTTATCATAGGCCTTATGACTCTGGCATAGATCTATAAGAACATTTTCGGTTGTAGTCTCCAATTTTTTCCACACAAGCATCGACATATTTAAGGATGTTGTACTCTTTTGAAAGACGTTTTGCAAGTTTTGATTTTAGGTTAACCTGTTGTCAAATATGACACCCAAGTATTTGACCTCTTGGGGGAGATAGGAAACGCTCATAAGAAGCCAATGCTTAACAACGACCAGCTTTAACGCATGTGGCGTATTCATCGATATCAAACATAAATATCGACTGTATTTTCATGTTCTTGTAAATAAATTTAAACAATGTAATTACGCTAAATTATTTATTAAAAAGAATACTACACTTACAGTCTATTATCGATTAATTATTGTAAATCTATTCTTGACAAATATTTTTTAATTTTTAATCATTATGGCCAATGGTATCTTATTTAAACATTTTGAGTGTAAACTCACTAATGGGAATTAAGATATTTTTCTTCCTATATCAAATCTTCTTTCTAACGTTTTGAAACCATTTTCTTGTTCTAAAACAATAAATCATACATAAATACCTACTTTGTGACAAAATTTGGTTCCTATTTGTGTTACTTACATGACTGGTTCTTTTTTTTGGTTAATTAAAGAACGCCACATTGAAGTTGTTAAATTTATTCATGTGGCATGTGTTACTAATGCAATACGTTCTCCGACTTATTGTAATATTACAAAATATAATTATTATCCTCAGATTTTACACAAAAATAGCTAAATTCTTCACAAACATCAAGAAAAGGAAAGCGTATCATGTTTATAGTAGAGAAGATAGAGAAAAAATTATGGATTACCGTAATTAGGTAGATAAATGCAAAATATAGAAAAAAAATCTGATCTTTCAGATAGATCGGTGTAATTGCACATTTGAATGTAATTTTCAATTCTAATCAACTTTTCTTAATGAAAATTTTTGATTTTGTCAAAAATAAACGTACTTTACCCTTGAGCAAAATTCATATTTTTTGACAAACCTCGTATACGACTGGAAAAATTTGATATCTGACGACTGTATTTTAAGTTTTGGGTCATGCAAGATTTTTTATCAAGAATAACTTTTTTTCCTAAAATCAATAATTTTTTTTTTTTCATATGGTTCCAACTTAAGTAGACATACTGTATATGTGCCTACCAGTATTAAAAGCAATGCTTTAAATTAATTTTTCTTAGAGTCTAGCGGTTATGATGTTAATACGGTATGCAGTGATTAATTAAAAAGTAATGATATTTGATTCTAAATATGGACTAAATACCAACATAATATGTAACTCTTAAAAATGTGGTTAGTTTAAAAATAATCAATTTTAGTAATTCTACCCAAAAATTAAAAGCATATAATTAATTTTTTTTTGTGCTTTTCCAAATATTTTACGCATTTTACGACTTGTAGTGTGTTTTTTTATAAGAATGGAAAAGTTTATAAATTTTTTTGAAAATATGGATCTGCATTTTGTTATTAATACCTAAATAGATTATAGTAAGTTGTAGAGAATACACGTGCCAATTTTCAATAACATATAAGTGTGGTTGGTAAGTTATAAAACAGGTAATAAATTGGCAAAGTTAATAAAACTACCTGTATCCCGGTCATAAATGGCGAGAGAACCATTAAGGTTATTTGAAATCATATCCGTAGCACAAAAAAATCAAGTAGTAAAAAGAGTGTGTTATCGAATGCACAATAGAAGTGAAACTTCTTAGATTAATTCACTCTAAAATAAAAAAAGACTTTAATAAAATGGCCACAACCAACTGATAAACACCAAATAAAAAGTTTTCTTGGCTTCTGTGTGTACTACCGAAGATTCACAAGGAAGTTCGCAGATATCGCTAAGCCATTCAGGGGGGAAAAGAAAGAGTACTGAGCGAAATTAATGCGTAACAAGAAGAGAACTCCTGACAGTTGTAAAATGTGTGGAACATTTCTACCAATACCTATAAGAAAGAACATTGTTAATTTGGTCAGATCATGCAGCTCTTAAGTGGTTGATGCAGTTCAAGAACCCGGAGGGCCAAATCGCCAGATTGGTGGAACGATTTCAAGAGTACGATTTAAAAATCGAACATAGGTCAGGAATAAGTCACAGAAATGCCTATTCTCTTTCTAGAAGACTGTGCCCAGCAGAGTGCTCTCACAGCAACAGAGCAGAATCCAAAGAAATTGGACTACTAAGAACAACTGTCGTCAAGGATAAGTGGGCCTCTGCTAAACTCATGGTAGAACAAGAGAACGATCCCGTTTTAAAGAAGATGCGACAATGGAAAGGCTTGTACTAGAGAATGATATTGGTTCCGAAAACAGAAGACAGTTGGACAATCTAAAGACAAGAGTAGCCGAAGTACTTTGTCAGTTACGCGACAGTCCATCAGGACGACATATCGGTGTTCAGAAAACCCTTCAGAGAGCTTTTGAAAAGTTTTGTTTGATGAATAGTATCTATTACATAAAGGACTGGTGTAAGAAACGTACCACCTGTGCTATGACTAATTGACCCTAAAGATAAAGGAAGGTCCCCATTACAACGTCGGTAGGATTAAAAGGATTGCCTTTTATATTTATGAAACGTTCTCCTTAACCGAGGATGGTAATAAATACATGATGATGGCATGGAATATTTCACAAAGTGAGTGGAAATCTACGTCATTTCAAATCAACTGTTGCAGCCGCGTTGATAAAAAAATATAAGTAGATATGGAGTACCCTTGGAGATCCAGTGGCCAGGCAGAAAATTTTAAAGCTAGCTTCTCCGAGGGACATTGACAGACTAGGCATGAAGAGAACTATAACTATGGCATTGCACCCATAATCCGATGGAATGATAAAGCGAATGAATAAAACCATTAAAAAATACCTGTCACAAGTAGTTTCCAGCAAGATTGGGATCAATATCTTACGCTTTTCGAAATTCGTAATGGAATGTAGATCCACTGTCAATGAATCCACAGATTTAACACCAGCAAAAGTG